GATAAGTTTCACTAAGACATCAGTGGTGAGTTTTTACTGTAGGATGGGTTTTGATTGTGAGATTTTTGATTGTAAATTGCGGGTTTTCAATTAAATTGCAATTGAAATAAATGTGCTCCTTCAATTAATTTAAAATGAAATATTTTATAACATTTATTTCAGGATACATTTATTATATTTTATTATTTTATTTTTATTACATTGATTTTATTATTCTCTAAGGATATATTAGAAGTACCTAATCCTGGAGGATCAGTACAATGGCCTAAGGGAAGATATGCTCATTCCAGTGTACTGATTACCACTAGTTCAGGACCACACTTACTAGTGGTGGGTGGATCACCTGCCTATGATGTATGGTTACTGGACATTAACAAAAGAAAATGGAAAGAACTCGTAAGTATTATATTATGATGCTTGATAATGAAACATAAAGTGATTAACTAAATTTGTAACTCATGAGGTTTGTAATGTACATGTACATATTATGATACTCAGTGAAAACTACTGATGAATAATGCTGGTATAGTGATATTCAGTATGTGTGTGTGTATCTGTTTTTAGTGTGAATGTGTGTTTGTGTCCTTTTGTGTTTTGTGTTTGTTTCTTTACCTAAATATGTGTGAATATACATGTGTCTGTCTGTGTGTGTGTAAAGATGGATTCACAATTGATAGAGTGTCAATGCTGGAATTAAAATAAATTCTACTTTATATACATTGTGTACATTGTGTATGTACATACATGTATTTGTGTGTTTGTGTGCATATGTTTTAATATGTGTATGTGTGTACTAACACGTACATCATGTGTACATGTAACATGTACATGTGTGTGTATGTGTGTGAGCAATTATGCATGCTTTACATGTAGCTTTATATGTGTATGCATGTATAGATGAACATGCATGTGTGTTAGTGTGTCATTAGTATGTGTATGTGTATGTGTGTGCATGCAGACACTTAGTAAGTTCTTAATTGAGGACACTTGTCTATTATTGTGTATTATTAATTTTATTATGTCATCTTTGTGTTACATAAAACACACTGTGCAGACTATAAAACTGTGAGTTAGTTATTGTGTTTATTAACCAGATATCAAATCAATTAATATGTCATACACAAATTAATTATTGTCATTTTAATCTTATAGATTTATCTACCAGACAATGTCACTAACAGATACTGGCATTCTCTCTCAGTGTGGAATGTGACCCCAACTACTAACTGGATAATTGAGTTTGGAGGATTTACATCATACATTGCTAATACAGCAGTTATTGAACTCCGTAAGTACATGTAGACAGTAGTAAATACAATGTGTATTGAATATGTAATGATAATTAGTAATAATAATATTAGAATAAAGTAAGTAATTTTTATGATGAATATTTAATCAGAGCATTTGACGTATACCTATGATACTATAATTATTACCAATTCATTCCTGCTATGTACAATAGTGAAATATAATGACTGCAGATACAGAAACACTGATATTAATAGGAGCTAGAGTGAATGAAATATTATTATCAGTGTATTTATATACAATAATATGTTCATGTGGTTAACTGTGTAAACTGACAGAGGTCACACATACAATGATTAAACACGAATCCATCAATAAAAAGATTACCATAGTAACTAACTGGAATTAATTTGTGTATTTCTTATTGTTCACTATTTTGTTACTGTATAGGATATACTAGTGATAATGATTGGTCTACTAGTGTAATACCTCTGGTCCAGTATCAAGATCAACTAAGAAGAAGGATACTGAGTGATTGGGAGTATTTAGGATTAAGCAAAGAGGTTCAATTACTCAGAGGGCACCTACAAGAAAGAGAGAGAGAGTTCTATGAGGAACAGCTTCAAAGAGAAATAAAAGAGAAGGAGCAGATACAGCAAGATCGAGACAAAGAGCAGCAACAGTTTCTTCTAGAAAAGGCAACACTGAGTCATCAACTTGATGATGCTACCACTCTCCTTGAGCAAGCAGAAAAGGATAAATCAACTGTTGAATTAGGTACTATTGTGTTGTACTGTTGTTAATGTGTACATTGTTTACGTTATAATACTAGTGGATTAGAGAATGTTGAGTATGGAAATAGTATCCTGTACTCAATATAGGTCAAATTGTCCATGCATTAGAAATAATGAGATTGATGTAGAGTGAGCTCTGCTTGCCATATATGTTAGTACATGTATTTATGGCTACTGTACATGCAGTGTAAATCTGTATAAGCAACAAATATCATTTTATCCTTAACCTTTGTAATTTTATTTATAATAGAATATAATGAGAAGCTTAAAGTTAAGGATGCTGAAATATTGGAAATAAAGACACAAGTAGAGGAGAAGAAACAGATTATTACTGGTTAGTGTATCATCAGTACATAATATTAGATGAAAGAATATTCTATTAATGTAGAAGATTATGAGAAACTGAAACTCAAAGTAGTTGATATGGAGGAACAATATCTCAAGGAGAAGCAGATCATTTTTGGTTAGTTAACTATACACACAGCTTGTATTAGATGAGAGAATATGTTTATTGTGTAGACGACAATCAAAATCTCATTTCTGAGAAAGACAAAGTTATTGCCAAACTGACATCACAAGTAGAGGAACAATCACAGAATGAGAAACAGATCATTACTGGTTAGTGTATCATCATCAATCAATAATAATTATTAATATTCTATTAATTTATAGACCTTAGAGCTAAAGTGTCTGATAATGAATTGTATACAACCAAACTAATGAAGGAGAAGTCACAACTACAGGAGAGAGTCACATCCTTAGAGGAACAATCCATCAAAGAGACTAGTTCCATTGGACTACAATTTAATTACCTGATCCCTTCAATTGGTAAATTATTCATGTACATGTACACATGTGAATGATTGTGTGTGTACTATACTGGTATTAGATATGATGTGTGTGTATTGTTTCAGATTCACTAGTAAGACTCTAGTGTCATTATAGCTGGACAGAAGCTCTTTATCCTACAAGGAGACAGGTCTGACTCACTCCAGTGGGAGAAATATGGATTCAGATTAGAGTGTCCTCAAGGAGCAGTGTCCAAGGATACTGAAGTAGCTGTTACTGCACTAGCTGGTGGTAATTTCAAGGTACCCAAGGTACTGTGCTAGTGAGTGCAGTATATGCAATATCAGTATCTAAGGGACTATTAAAACCACTGGTAATAGAGCTACAACATTGTGTGGATCTAAGGAACACTAGTCAGACTGGTTGCCTCAAGTTTGTGAGAGCTCCACTGAAGTCTCCTTACCAGTTCAGTATAGTTGAAGGAGGATCTTTTAGAGTTGGGAAAAGATATGGTTCAATAAAGCGTGAGCAGTTCAGTTGTATGGGTATTGTAGCTGAGATGAGTAATGGAGACACACCTAGTGACAGTGAGAGTGAGGAAGGTTATGAGACACCACCTGAAGGTACATGTATAATGGAAATAGTGTTTTATTATTAATAATGTACAATAATAGGATCAACTGATGACACACATAATGATAGTGGTAATGGAGCAGGAGAGACTAGTGAGACAACTGCCTCACCAATAAATACTGGACTATCTCAAGGTATGTGTGACTGTAATTGTGTTGTATAAAGTTTCATTTTCATAATAGAATCAGTAACTGATGACTCTAATCAAAAAGCACAAGAAGTTGAGTCTACTTCTGGTATGTATGTATTGTATAATTTATTAAGTACATTCATAATGAGGTTTTGTATTATTAGGTGCATTTAATGTTAGCAATGAATCAACTGAAGATGAAGTGAAACAAAAACCAAATGAAGACAAAGGTATATGTCACAGTTATTATGTTTTAATTTCTAATTCTTATACAGGAGTCACTCTACTGTACACTGGAATGATGTATCATGAAGAGAAGAAAATTAATCAATGGATGACTACATTTTCTGTTGTTAGAGATTTAAAAGTCCTTCAGCAAGTATGTAATGTAATTTATGAAGAATGTCATTTATTGGAATTTTAGTATTTAGAGAACAAACATTCTAAAGCTGAACAAGATGGACCATTTGTCATATTCAAGTACAATCAACCTGATGGTATCCTTCAGTTGTGTCTACAAGATACTCCATCACTTGAATCTGGATGGACTGTACATCCTGACCAATTCCCAATGCAAGTATGTACAGTGTACGTGTGTATAATACACAGTATGACTGTTGCCTTTTATTATAGATATGTCAATATGTAGTAGACAAGTTTATAGACAATCCTATGTGTTCCAGTATCCATATATCAGTGTATG